TTTGGAAGTATTTCAAGATATAATGTAGATTCAAGTTTGTTTAAATCATGATCCCCATGGTTAGAGTGGTGCTAAATAGGGGAACAAAGGTTATAGAGAAAAAGTTTTAAATATGCCTTTTCCCAAGATCAACAGGGTAATGATTATAGTCATGTTTATATGAAAACATCATCAGGTAGTGTAGATTCAAGTTTTATCCTATCATGGCCCCCTGGGTTAGTGAGGGTCAACAGTAGGGTATCGGGGTTTTACAAGGTAATAAAATTTCAGAAAAACAAATATTTTCAAGAGTAGTAGAGCCACACTAAATCCTATTGATATGGAAACATACCGAAGTTGTATGGAACCTTTTTTTTAAATTATGGGTCCTGGATTTAGGGTGAGGCTAAAATTTTTTATCAAATTTTTCCCGATCGGATAATTTTTTACATGAAATATAGAGATAAGCCTAAACGAACAGTATTCAAACTCAAAAGTCCATCCGAACAATACAAATCAGGAGCAGAGCAAATACGAACCTCTAAAACATCAGAGGTGGGATCAGGTTCTATGGAGGAGTGAGCACCCCCTGCCGACCGGTCACACCCGCCGTCACATGGTCGCCGAGAAAAACGGAAAAATCCGTAGACAATTCAGTGTGTAAGGAATGGCCTAACAATTAGTATGGAAAACGTCACTCAGCATTTGACTTAATGATGGATTGTATTTGCTGACAAGGTTATTCTATTGACCATTGAAAATTATGACTTTAAACGAGACTGTTGATATTCTTGTTTCATCAACTTGTTTGTTAATAGTTTGCCTAAAAATGTAAAGATCTCTCGAATGTTATATGAAATTATATATAATCTTGATAAAGAGGACATTTTCCAATTCAAGTGGTTGTCACATGTCAGTAGCGTACTAATCAAACATGGTATTGGAAATTATTGGAATGATCAATTTTTCCCCAAAAATGTTAGCCTATCTAGAAAGGTTGACGACCAATTTAAAGAAACTTTTATATAAGACTGGAAATTAAATATTTTTAATTCTCCTAAATGTGTTGATTATAGGATCTACAAAACTAACTTTGGTCTAGAGAAATATTTTTCTTTGTTACCCTTTGATCTTGTTTATAGTTTTAGCAAATTTCGATGTGTTAGTCACAGATTACCTATTGAATCTGAAAGATTTTTAAATATAGACAGAGCAGATAGATTATGTGATCTCTGTAGTGTTGGAGAAATTGGAGATGAATTTCACTATATTTCTAATTGCAATTTTTTCAATTGAAAGAAGAAAGTACATACCTGAAAAAGTTTACAAAGTGAAAAATATTAATAGTTTTGCTAACTTGTTTAACAGTGATGATAAATTTACCTTAATTGGCTTGGTAAATTTTTTAAAGATTGTAATGTCTTTATTTCACTCTTGAATTCCTTCCAATACCTGTAAATTAATATTGTATATATGTTAATCCTTTGTTAATTTGTTACCTTTTCATTGTTGATTTATTTCTTGTTTGTACTTTTATGCCTCAGTGAGGCCATAAAGTGAAATAAAATGTTTCAAATGGTCGTGATAGCACAGTGGTTATACGTCACTCGCCTCGCAAAGCCCTGAGAGTCCTGGGTTCGATTCTCGATCATGGAGCCGCATCACGTTTAAACGTGTAACATAGGTAGGGTAAATATGAATTTAAAACGTAAAATTTTAAAAACAAGAACTCTCCGTCTGCAATAATATCACATCAAATTAAAAACAACATCTCCCTGTCTACAATAATATCGTATAATGACAATAAATAGTAGCCATATAGGAACGATTGTTCACGTAACAATTTGACCCTAATCAGAGGCATTTGTGTTTGACAAAAACATTTTAAAAATATTTTTGGGTGTCTTATTTTATCGTAAGGACCCACAATGCATAGCCCTTTTGTTTGTTATAAGAAATGAGTCACACTTGAAAAAATTAAATTAGTTTTAATTATATAAGATACTTGGTGAGGTACCATGATAGTTCTTAAAAAAGAAATTAAACAACAAACAAACATAAAAAGCCACAGACAAGAAATATTCAATTTTTTTCATGAAGGTAGGGAGTATTATTTTAATCGAACGTAAGAAATCTGTTGGTAGCAAGATTTTAGAGTTACTTTTCTTTGTTTGAAAATTGTGTTATGGTGGCGGATTATTTCTGCATTATTATATGTAAATGTATTATATGGTCAGGCACGTTGCTGATGTAGTGCGTGGGACAGACGGTCCATAACAACGTCTACCACCGGCCTGATTACAGTCATACCGTTCCCAGCTCGAGGGGTATGAAAAGGCGTGGGGTGGGGTGCTCCAATGCACATGATTGTGCATAATGGAAATTTAAGCTGTCACGTTTTAGAAAGAAACTGCTTGCGTTATTAATTTCATCTTTTTTATTTTATTATTTTCATTTTCGATCTTTTAAAAAATATATAATATACGACTTATTTTTGATCCATTAAACAAATATTTCAAAAAATTCTTCATATAAAGAGGTGGTGTAATGGAAAGGTAACTTTTTTTAAAAGTGCTCTGAAATGATATTTAATGGTTCTTTTTACCTTTTAAAATCCTCTAGTACCGCATTATTGTCAACGAAATGTCATAAAGATAAGATTTAACCCGGCGATTACAGAATAACAATAAACTTTTTATGCTTCTTTGTTCTCATTTCCTGACAAACTTAGAGTCAAATCTAAAATTTTAGAAAATTTTACGAGGCCTTAACTGGACTGGCAACGCCATTTATATATGGAAATTCTTGCCCAGGTTTCCCTCTGGTAACCTTTGTCAATATTAAAATAGGGTTAATATTTATGAAGATTTATGCGAAATAAATTGATTTTATGACATAATGTGGGAATCGGTTATAAAGAGGTTGTAAATTTCGATAAATTGAATTAGATTGACCTGATGTAGTCCCGGGTGTAAAAGATCTTGCGGAACAATACAGAAACAGTTGACCCTTTACCACGCAGCAATCGTCCCGAGACGTGCGATAAAATCTAGTGCCGACATCTGCAACTATTGTACCCGTACGAGGAATTTAACGTATTTGCCCTCTCTTCGATGTTCTTATCGCCCTATCTATGCATTAATTGGAAAGTTAATATCTGTCTTCCCGCGGAGACTTCGCGATAGATAAGCAAATTATACAGAGAACTAATCCCCCGTTCAACTGACCTGTCCGCGAGTCAAGAAATCTAGACCGTCTCCGGTCCGCGTTTTATTGTTAACTAATGCAGTTCACGACAATGAACAACTTGAGGGCTAATCCATTTCATTGTCGTCCGAGAAAAAGAAGAAGCAATTAACAATTGCAATACATTGTCCATTTTACAAAAGGTAATTATAAGGACATGCAACTTGTTTTCATAATTTAACAATTTGATATGCGGAACTGATAATTTGAAGAAGGAAATGTTTGATTTAATAGCATAATGGCAGATATTTCGATATCAAGAATAACCCTCATAAAAATTAATCTTACAGCTATATTTCATGACAATAATGTACATGTATAGTTATCATGTGCAATATTAAGGCACTGCGTAAATGTGAGATCTTAGAACGACAAAATACTGGACACACACGTACAGATTCAAACATGAAATTGACCATTTTGCACTGCATGTAAATATGTAAGTTAATGAACCTCCATCTGAGAAGCTAACTTTCTGTGTGTTAAACTATTGATTTAGTAATGCTTGATTGGTGGTAGATGGAAATTGTAGTGAGCCAGTCAACATGTAGATTGAACTATGTATTCTTTGCCATAACTTTTCTATAACTGTGAGGACTTTGTTGTTCTTAGATATGACCAATCCCTGACAAAGCCACCACAGGAACATGAAAACAATGGTAAGTGGTAAATTAGTGACACGAAAACATTCTCATTCCCATAAGAACACGTGTTCAATCAGGATTTATGTCCCATTATTTTCCATTTGTCCACTAGGCACGTGCTTCATTCCCTGTCCGATCATGAAGTACCCACATCATCTCATAAACTATCAACTTTATTTCTCCTGAGAGAGAGAGAGAGAGAGAGAGAGAGAGAGAGAGCATGTGTTACAAGACCCTGTAATCTCTCAAGCTTCAAATGTAATGTTTATAAAATAGGAATTTTACAAAAATTTGATGATCTGTAGTCTTTAATGGTCATAATTACCGCTTTCAAGTCCCAGCTCTCCCTATTTAGTTTTACCCCTTTTATGTGACATTCTTATATAAAAGCAAAAGAAACGTTCTTACAAAAGCATGGTCGTCTTTAATCGTGTCTCGTCCTCTACTTACACACTTCAATAAATTCAATAACTTGATTTAATTTCAAACGAATCATGACAACAAAAACTTTCCATCTATCATTTGCAGAAAAAATCCACTCATCATTCAGCGGCGCCCAAATACGATGGGGTCTGCACTGTCAATTAGCGAACCAATTACTTTACAATGAATTTCTTCAGGGGTCATTCTCCATAAATAGGCGACTTGCACTGCAAAGAAATATTGCACTACTGAAAACGATAATTAATGACACAAACTTGTTCTTCTTATGACATTTTCATTTTTTATTTTATGGGTAGGTGATTACGCGCGCGACGCACGCGTGTTCGCGGACATCCAAGGTCGGACACAATGCTTGTGAAGAGGTTCCTCACCGAGGGCTATCTGTGCATCATAAAATCATAAAGCGAAAAAGCATTATATCTCGTTAAGAAAGTTTCTGAGTTTGTGAATCGTAAAATTAATATTTAAAAATAATTGACATGCTGATTTTTTGCATCTGAATTAGACTGAAAAAACTCGAGATTTGATTGATCGAGAAGAAATTTTTGTATTAAGGACCACGTGAGCGAAGTAACAAAAGCCCTGATTGGGTATAAATATTGAGTCCCGCATTTATTATTCATTTCAAAGTCTTGATCGTCACTCATGCGTACCCGCCTATCTTGAGATGGCATCTTAAGTGTTAACGGATAGAGACCCCACTACATGCCAAATTGATTTCATTGACAATAATGTCACGGTCGTTTTTCGTCGACTCTCTGATAGTTAAAGATACCCCGTCTACAGCGGTGGCAAAACGTGGTGACTGTGCAACTAGTCAGTCCCTGGGTATGACCCCACCAGTGGGGCACAGGCAATCGAACCCCACTCCCCGCCTTCCTCCGGTGTCACACAGTCTACCCTGCTACCCCCGGCATCCCCAAGAAATGATCAGTTTTTGTTGCCCCCTATGCGTCCACACACCACACCCTGTGGTCCCCGAGAGTGCAGCGACGGTGCCAAGAATGGCCTCCACTTTTGCAACAACTTGTCCAACATCACGAGCGATGGTAGAGTATCCATTCCACCGAAGTCCAATATCAGTTCTTGCATCGAAGGCTGCAAAACGACCAAAAGACAGAGTGACCAACTCTGGATTTCAGGAACCGAAGAAACCAAAAGCATCTCCAGCAGGTAAGGGCCTAGAATTGTGAATTTTAAAAAACAAACACGTAAGAAATTGTGCTTGGATTCGATTACTTATACGTCAAAAATTGTGGCTAAGTATCCTCTTTTTGGAAGTGTAAATATGTGCTTACCCCATTGGGCCATACATGTACATATATAAAACTTGCTCATGAATGTACATCGCATAGTAAGAATACAATGCAAAGGAATCTTAAATTTTTTCAGTCAAATTTTACCAAGTATAAATATATTTTAGGCGTAAGCAGTTCGACAGAGGACTCGAGCAGCAAAAGAATTCGGACAGCTTTTACAAGTACACAGCTGTTAGAACTGGAAAGGGAATTTAACTCCAACATGTACCTATCGAGACTCAGAAGGATAGAAATCGCCACATATCTCAACTTATCCGAAAAGCAGGTCAAAATCTGGTTTCAGAATCGAAGGGTTAAATTCAAAAAAGAAGGTCATGACGAAACGAAAGATAAATGCCGATGTCTAAGAACATGTGCTCCAAAGCTGGACAGACGTCGTTTGAACAAACTTCCCGATGATCCTGAAATAAAACATTCACGTGATTGTGATATTTTGGACAACTTTGACTGTGAGCAATCGGGGGATTCGGACCTCAACATTGACACGTAATCTTGTCTATTTTATCAGTGCAATACTTCTAATGTGTTCCAAACTGTGCAATATGTTTACGCTATATATTATTCTGGTCATGTTCACTATACATGCCATTACATGGAAATTCGGCCAGTAGGATACAATAAAGAGAGTAAAATTTATGAATATAGATTCCTTTCGTCAAATAACCTTTCCAATAATGTAAATATCAAAATCTAGGAGAGAGCCAGGCAGCTGTCCTAATCCCACATGTATGTTGCATTAAACTTTGATAGAATAAAATACTATATAAATCAGTATCATCAACATCGTCAATTCTTAAATTCTTTTTTTCTTTTTCCTTGAAGAAGAAACCTGAAAAACACAATTTCAATGAATGAAGTAGAGCGGCACAATTTTTCAAGAAACACTTTACTTGATATTTTTACAATTTTATGCATACAGGATTAAACTTGAGAAAGACACAAATTTGAAAATATTGACTCTACAATTATTATTAACGTTTTCAATACCTGAGATTTCAATTTATTTTACTTATATAATTATATTCTAATATGTGCCCATTAATTCTTAGTATATCCAAAGTCGGGTATAACCATGTAATTTTGTGGAATAGTTACGAAATTGGAGCTCTCAGCGTTTATAATTATTGTATTCGTTGTCAAACAAATATACCTTTATAGATTATGACTGTTCCAAAATACGTCTGAAAATAAAACACATAGACGAATACTACTATTAGAATAGAAAAGATTAAATCTTCTTCGGTCGGTATCAATTTCAATGCAGTTGCAGACATATTTCTTGTGTGAGATATCTATTCGGACAATGATTTTGTAAAACACAGCAGTGGGATGTGAATTATTATTAAGGTAAAGAAAAAAAAGACGCATGTCAGTGTGTTTTCTAAACAATGCTCGCACCAAGAATGCTAAAATAAATAAATAAATGATAAATGAATAAATAAAAAAAGATGCATTTATATTGCTCTGTTGCAAAACTTATGTACAATTTAAGAGAAATGAAAAAGTGGGTTTTCTTCCTTCAAAAATTAAAAATTTTGTAATTAACAATCAGGAATTAAATATTGTCATATTACAATCTTTCCCGAGGAATCAAAGTATTGAATAAAAATTAATTAAATAAATAATTCTTCTTCCAATTTAGTTATCTTCTTTGTATTTAAAATCGCGAAGAAATGAAATGATTCAATAAAAATCAAATACATTTCTTTTAAATGAATCTTGTATTTTCTTAATCTTTTTAGCATCGCATTATTCAAAACTTGAGGAATATGTAAAAATAAATTAAATATAAAATAATAATATAAGAAAAAAAAACTAATACACTTTTTAAAAAATTTCATACAGAAAACGCATTCAAAACTAAAATATCCAATAAAAAAATTGAGTTTAGAAATCAGTGATCGATTTAATTTCTGATCGTTTTGCTCTCTTGACCCCAGGACAAAGTTAAGGGTGCTTAAGACAGTTTCATGAAATTTGACAAGGCTTCAACTTTCTATAGAGCCAAATGGAGTCGTTGTTAGCCTACAAAATAAAATTTCCTTCATCATTAAACCAAATAAACCCCATTAAATGTTTATTATGAAGTTTGAACTGACCCGCTGTTCACTGTGAGCGAATAAGTCTGGGCAATATCAAGAAACACTAAAATCTCTTCATTAGGGGGATTTTAATTCATGGACGAAAACCAATGCCAAAAAGTTATCTCCAAATAAAACAAAATATAACATCTGTCAAGCTGGAAAATTAGACCTCTCCTACAGAGCAAAAAATATAATTTGGTCACTGGGGATTTATTCTGAAATGCCCTCTACAGCAGTTTTATTGGTTGTCCATCCCTCCTCTAGCTGTTAACGAAATAAACCCTTTAAGCGCAATCTTGAATAAACCCCTGTCTTCAGAAATCATAATGAAATGCAGGTATGAAATAAACTGATGTTATTCAAATGTCCATAAGCCCTATTCATAGTGTCTTCATAACTCAGAAATCAAGAAATTGACCAGTTAACTGTTTTGAATAATATGGGTTTTCAAACGTGCCCCCTGCGGTTTGCCTTGTGCAGTGGGCGATTAGACGGTGTCAGAACTACAAAAACGCCGTTGTCCATCACAACACAACCTTATAATGCATCACTGGTCATCGATATTGAACTTGTCGATCACTCTAAATCTGTAAAAATGGAACTAATTTGCCAGAAAAATGCACTAAATGGACACAAAAGATATTCTCTGTATATTAAAACCAGATTTTTTTAACTTTTAATTTTCATCTGCGGTCTGGTGGCCCAATGATAGGATGCTAATCAGTTTTATGTTGTATTAGAGAGGATATCCATATTTAGAGTATCTTGGTGCTATCAAAAGTTCAACCAGTTCACGCCTGTCATGCTGTCAGTTCACTATAAGACATATACATCGCATTGCGATCATTACATAACAACATCATCATGACCGGAAATCACAAATACTTCATCTATTAAAATGGAAACAATACAAGTTCTACTGAGCACTTTTTGTAACAAGCTATCTTTGGTTGAACACGCGCCAAAAACACGGCAAGTACTTCATGTATCTTTTGCTGGTATCGAAGATAATCCATTGTCGGTCCACTATCCTGGTTAATTCTTTGTCGGTCCACTATCCTGGACAGTCTCCTGCCGGTTCACTATCTTGGACAATTCTGCTGGTCCATTTTCTAGAATAATATTGTATATAAGTTTAAGTATGCACTGTTAGATGTATACGAGTATTAGAGCTGAGGGATATTTGTGACTATTTGCAAAAGTTCATGGATATTTGTGACTATTTGCAGGGTCTGAAGGATATTTGTGACTATTTGCAGGGGCTGAGCAATGTTTGTTACCCTTTGCAAGGGCTGAGCAATATTTGTGACCATTTATAGAGGCTGAGTGATATTTGTGACCCTTTGCAAGGGCTGAGCGATATTTGTGACCCTTTGCAGGGACTGAGGGATATTTGTGACCGTTTGTAGGGGCTAAGCAATATTTGTGACCGTTTGTAGGGGCTGAGCGATATTTGTGACCGTTTGTAAGAGCTGAGCGATATTTCTGACAATTTGCAAGTGTGACTGTTTGAGGGTGCTTAGGGATATATTTGTGACTGTTTGCAGGGGCTGGGGGATATTTGTGACCATTTTCAAAGGCTGAGCGATATTTTTGACCCTTTGCAAGGGCTGAGCTATATTTGTGACCCTTTGCAGGGGCTTGGGGATATTTGTGACCGTTTGCAGGGGCTGAGCGATATTTGAGAACCGTTTGCAGGAGATGAGCAATATTTGTGACCATTTGCTGGGCTGAGCTATATTTGTGACTTTGAATAGGTTGAGGGATATATTTGTGACTGTTTGCAAGTTTCATAGAAGGGAAGAGCAAAGTATCACCGTCAAAATTGTAAGAAAGACAAAGTAACAATTGTTAAAAAAGTTTTTAAAAAGATTTGATAATTTTAACCAAAATCTACGATTCCTTTAGAGCTTGTATAGTTCTTATTCTCCAATAAATGAATGTTACATCCCCTGTTTTGCCTGCAATATATTTTTGAATGAAGGCTTTCAACAACTTAACAGCGATGTTCTTGGGATATTCTATATATTGCCACGATACCCCCCCCCCCCCCCATCTCTTAAACGTTGGAATTGTCAGTAAGAATATATTTTAACTGTATGCCAGAATTTCAAGACTGAAGCAAAGTCTGAGGGTTCTCTGGAATAGTCGAGAATAAGAAGTCTCATCATTTACAGGGTGTGAAAATTCACAAATTTGTCATTTTCTTCATGGCCTTGCGGGTATAATTTCTGTCATGAAAACTTGCAGGAACTTTAAACATTCACGTCATTTTGAGAAGGGCACGTGCTGTATCAGCAAGGCAGGTTGCTCAGAAACTAAAATTTCAAAACAAATTAATTGAAAAAGATTATGTTGGAGCATTGTCTCCAGCTAATTATTATTTTTTCAGTGTGCAGATGCAATTCTTGGTGTAATTTCTGTCTTAAAATGATAAAAATTGCCATTATCTCTACGAATTGTGCATTTTAATTCTGGAAATACAAGGCCATGTGTTTGCTTCGGATTTCAATTTCTTGGAGAAGATGAAAGGCATCCTCAGTATCTCCTGCAGCAAGAAATGTATAACGTTATCAAATTTATGACCATATATTGCTCTCCTTTGCAGAAAATTTAATTGTTGCTGCTGTTTAATTACAAGGACTTTGCGAAGGCGGGAACCCCTTTTTCTTCTCTCTAATGTCAGGGGGACCAACATGCTTTCGCCAAACCTTACACTGAAAGGATCTTTTTAATTTCTTCTTAAAGAAACCTTAAAATTTCCTTTGCACAAAGAACAATAAACATGTTATTTTCCAACAGTAAACGGCAGATGGCACCATCATTAGTAACACGTACATCTTCTGGAAGGGAGATAAATCTGAGCACGATTCCATTCCTTACAAACTTTGGGACTATGCACAACAATTAAACTGTGTTTTAATTAACTTGACGTAACTGTGTAGTTATTATTACTCCTTTACAAAACACTGGAGATAGTTAACAAATAAGCAGAATCAGAATACTACGTGTAAATTGGGACCTGTCTTCAATGCACGTGAGGGGAGAATTGTGTTCTTAAATTTTAGCACGTGTGGCGTCGTGCAGATATCACGAGGTGTGTTTGTCAATTATATTAACTTTCGCTTAATTCTTCGCTATTCGAGAACTTTTTTCTCGATTTCAAATATAAGTTGTGTAAAACAATAGACTTTCACTATAAGCATGTGCTGTAGTAGTATTGAGCATTTATGTCTATACATATTACCTATTTAAGTTGCAGTCACTTTATTGCAGAGGAAAATCACCTGCAATAGTTCTCGGGGTCCTTCAAAGAGACCAGATGCTGCGAGCGCTCAATGTATCGATAACTGCAACTCAATTCCTCAAAGAGTTATCATAAAGATTAAAAATCGGCACCTCGCACCCACATATAATTTGATTAAGCGGTAAGATTGCATAAGTTTTC